CCAACTCTTCCAGGTCTGGTGCTGTCCCAGCTTCCTATCGAGTTGGCACCATGGCTGTTTTCCCATGGTTAAAGCACCTGGAGCATGCAGCTGGCAATTTACCTCCGTATTCTGTGTCAAGGTATTGATGTGAAGCTTGCCTTCATGTCCTGTGAATGCCTTTGTGGTGGACCTAATAGTGGGTCAGCGACATTTGAAACATTTTTTTTCCAGGTTTAATAAGGTAAAGACAGAAGTTCATGCCATCACATATTGTTCCGTTGGACAGTACTGAAACTTTACACTTTGTCAGCATTCTTTTCATTTTATAAATTTATTTGATGTTTCACAGTAATAGCAAGATGCAGCAGACACAGCAGTCAAATGGAAGGACGCGTCAATTAATGGATGTATGAGCAGGTGTGTATTATTCATGTTTGTTAAATATATAGAAGTAAACTGATAGGTATTTCCTATACCTGCTATTGTTGACATGGGGCAAGAATGGACTAGTACTTCATCCTTTTAACAAAATGTAATTAATTATTTACACTAGAAGCTGGGAGAGCTCTACCACAGAGGTGTCTGGTTAGGTATAGAAATAAATTTTTGTTTTCTCCTAACCAGCTATACTATTTCTCTCCCTCTCTGCTGCTACTGTTTGGAAACAGTTCTATTGAGAGTATGTGCATTACCTTTTACCCCTCTTGCCATTGTTACTTGTGTTATTTTCTTAAATCATTTACATTTTAGAGGTTCCTGTCATATTTTAGGTATTAAAAGTTGCAAAAAAATGTGCCCATTACCTCTGTGCATCCATCTCTCTGTAACAAACTTAGAAAGGAACTTTGGTTGTTTGTAAATCCTGAACCAACTAATCATATATTTAGTTGCTGACGATACACGACTAGGAATAACAACTCATTGACCATGTAATTCAGACCCTCTACAAGTGACCATGTGACATTTTCTGTCAAACTTCTTGAAAAATAATTGTTTTACTTGTGCTTATTACACCTCACAAAAAAACATACAACTACATAAATCAAACTCACAAAATTCAATTTTATTTCAAAATACAGATATACAGTCAAATATTTTTTTAAACTTTGGTAGCACATCTACTGATGAGTAGTGAAACTATGTCAAAGAACTGAATTGCTGCTTTCAAACTACTTGTGGTGTCTGCCAATGCATCTGGTCATTAATAGAAATACACATTACATACTAATAGCAATCACAATAATGTGTCTGTTGTTATAATTTATAGATCCAATGTGAATCCCAGAATGTTGATAATTTTCTGGCTGAAAACAGTCGTGTAGTAAATTCCAAAGCATTGCCAACTTTTCAAAAATTCTACAGTGTAAGCATAACGGTGCACAACTGAGCTAATACTCATTGGAATTTAATTCCTTGTTTGTATTAATGATGTCATATACCAATCATGCTTTGTCAAAACTAAAACATATTTATTATACGCAAACAAAAAATAATATTGGTCACCTTATTATAGCACACATGCCTAACACTGGAGCAAAATATTGTGTGTAATACAACACCTGACTCTTCTGCCTTATGTCTTATGAAAGTTTTTCACTCCTATGCACAGTATGAGCTTGGTTCTTTTACCTCTTTTTACAGGTGTACTTGTTACATCAAACAACAGCCAACCATTTTTGTAGTTAAGTGGTTAAATATTCACTGAAATCACCAGTGTCAGTACTGTAAGAATAAGACAGCATATGCGGACCCTTTCATCTAAATAGGACAGCTCTGAATTGAATTCTTCTGAAACACTTCAACGTAGCTAGTGATATATCCACATGCACGTTCCACCATTTCACTTGGATCCCACCGAGGACTGTATGGATAATCTTCACATAGACTTTTGAATGGTTTGCCAGATGAAGAATGATAGACTGATTGCAGAATGAATGAAGGTCGGTCTCTAGGAAAATGCATGGGTAGTGACACATGAAGAAGAAAGTAAAAATCTCGACACTCCAGGAGAAATGAGGAACGAGAGAAAGAAACTGCATCAAACTCCAACATGGCTTTCCCCATCCTGTAACAAAATGCTCCAAGATATTCTTTTTTCTTCTCGTAGGCGACGCACATTGCAGACACTCTGTCCCGCAGTTGCTCAGCCACAATGGGAACATAGTCCATCAAACAACTTCCAGATGGAAATGGTGGCAGATGGAAGGAGGATGAGCCTCCGAGTGCCCTTTCAACGCGTGGTGACAGATACAGTTGTGGGGTGATTCGACTACCTTCAGGTTGATGAAATGTGACCAACAAAACAGCTGCACTTTCACCTGAATCATCACCTGTTTGAACTGGAGGCAAATCAGAAAAATCTACTTTAAGACGAATCAGAAAGTTTACTGCGCCCCCCATCAGACGTGACTTCATGTTTGTATTACGGCTACCAATCAGAACTTCCACATCATCTTCACACACTGGAGTCTGGTAAACAAGTGACGAGTATTCAAACTGAAGTCTGGAGTAGTCCCCGAGCAGTGACACCTGTGTAACAAACACCACATTGACTCACTAAAACCACATCACTAGTGAAACTGTAACATTTGTCATTTACAACATATATGGGTCTTTCCATGTCAAGGCAACACACTTAGGGGCAAAATTATCATGGCTACATATGTAAGTATTCGATGATACCATTTATACTGATACATCTAAATTGCTTATAACCAATGTTCCTGAACAGGGTGAAGCAGTTATATATGACTGATAAGCTATCCCACTACATGCCATGTAGGTGCTCAGGGGGAGAGGCAGTATAGCTCCTACTTATTCTCAACCTCAGCACTTTGGGTGAGTGGTCAGTGTCATGCCCCGGCCACACTTTACCCCCATTATCCATTGGATAGGAGTCTGGGCAGGCCCCAGATCCACTGTGGATGCATAGGCTAGAAGAAAATCCTCTACCCGTGTTGGGGATCAAACCCCAATCATCCAGCCCATACTCAGTCACTATACTGACTGTGCTACCTGGCTCTTATATTTGACTGATATGCAAAACTAGATTGACAACTTCTAGGTAGACTTCATGGAAGTTGATCTATAATCAGAGATGAAACACACAGATGAACATGTAGACAAGACCTCCAGGTCAAGTTCCCAACAGTGATTTAGGACATGGCTATGGAATGTATTGAGATAAAAGGATTGCCTGAAAGTGTGGTATCTAGCAACCTTGATAGGCATGGTAAAGGGCTTGCAATGAACATGGTTGGTGATTGAACTTCGTCTTGCTTCATGAGAATTGGAATGGAATACTTCAAAAAATAACAGACATAAAGAATAAACTGAGACAGTACTAATGACTTTCCTGGAAGAACAAAAATCGAGACCAGGAGGAGAAAGAAAACAAGGAAAGAATGTGGTGATGTCACACAGGAACAAATGTGATATTTTAGTGCAAGACCCTTCACTGTGGACTAGGACACTAAAATGTAATTTCTTTAGAAGCAGCATAAATTCTGTGTCACTCATTCATGGATACCTTACCAACTAGTAGCAAAGAACTGTTTCTGTGTATGAAAAAATACACTATTCATATGATGATACTTACCTGGTGCTTTCTGTACAGAACTAGAAGTTCACAGATGACATGTAACAATGACTTTGAATCTTGACAGTCCCAATTAGCAAGGCTTGGTACATTTTTTTCAATTATCTCTACTTCAGGATCAGAGAGAAATGTGTCATCATCAAAGCAGAAGTCTGGAGGGAAATGTGGTAAAATACTATTAAATACAACCTCCCAAGTGATAGACTGGCCAGCAAATGGAATTATCAGTTTGAAACGATCACCACAATCTGATGTTTCCATAGTAGGTCTCCCAGACTGAACATCATCAACTTTCAAATTTCCTGCACATAACCCTGAAAACAGAAGAAACTAATGAAAATATGATACATTTAATTTGACTTGAAAATTCTGGGTCAGAAGTAACGAGTAGGTGACAACAGTAGAACTGACAATAGTATGAAATACTATTCATACATTTTACAACTAACAATTTTTAACAATATAAGTTGAGGGGTCTTTGTACAAAAACCGAGATATTGAGATAATTATTTATTTTTAGTTTTCAAGACAGATAAAACTGCATGTCTTTAGCTGCAACAGTGATACATACCAATGTTTCCACTGTACAAAACCTCCTTTATATATGGTTGCATTTTAGGATGAAATGACTGAAGAACAGCATTTACATCCATTTTGGAACTTCTGTATGTTTCGCCAGAAAAATCCGCACAACGAAGGCAAAAACTGAAACACTTGTTCTTTCACTAACCAAAACCATAAGCTGGAGCACCTCCCACTGGGCATAAGCAACCTCACACTTGTTTTCTTTTATCGTAACCTTACAAACCCATGAACATGTACAACTTGTAACATCTATTGTACTCCTAAGAACATAGCAACAATTCTAAATGTGTCGACAATCTGAATACAAACACACGTTATGACATCTGTGAGCACTGCCATGTTTGATCATACAGTGAATGCAGATGACTGTCATCTAGGTAACTACAAGACAGCAATCCATGTGTTTTGGTGAGTTAATTTGGAAGGGTTAGAGAATTGTTAACCTGTGACTGTACATTGTAACAGACGTAACCAAGTTGTAAAGTAGGGTAAAGTTCCATATATTAATCTTTGGATGTTGGAAGTGATCTAATCATAGCTAACTACGAATCCAATAATTTTTGTCCTCTGGTCATTTTAGAGGTGTGTTGTAACAGTTATTTCTGTAGTGAGTAATTGAGTTACATATATTTAACATTTCTATTTCCACTGAAATGGCAATTTTTAATTTAGAGACTGAACAAGGTATTAAATCCTTGGACGCATTTCTTGCAGACCATAGTTATGTTGAAGGGTAAGTCTTTGATAAAAATGTGTTCAACACGTGTCGTTTTTGTAGGTTAATGTTCCTTGGATGAGAGAGAATGTATTATAGTTTATTCACATTCCATTAAACCGTCTTCGGGCTAAACTAAGGATGTAGAACATGTCATAATACAAGTACGAAACTTATCTCACATACAGATATATATATATACTTCTGAATTTTCAATACAAGCACAAAACCGTATTTCGCATACAGATATACATAAAGCTTACGAATTGTCAACAGAGGTAAAATCTAAGTTTCCACGGCCGTGGGTCCGAAGATGGCTGTCTTCTGGGTTGGTACGCCGTGTAGTGTGCTACAAGTTTACCGACGTTTCATCGCTCTGATGACGGAGGCAGCAGGGACCTCTGAAACGTCGGTAAACTTCTACCAGACTACACGGCCCAACAACCCAGGAGATAGCCATCTTCAGAGGTAAAATCATCTACAGAGTACAGGTTGCAATTGCTGTTTACATTTTGAAGAATTTAGTGATATGCTTGTATTTAAAAGCTAGTTTAGCTGAATTTTATTCTCACACAGTTTATATGGTGTTTCATAGGGACATTTTTGTGAGCAATAATTTGTGGAATTCTGTGTTCCTATCACATCAGCCAGGAACAAAATTATTCATGCATGTTAACTTCTGTGTGTATGTTACCCCTTTCTGGTTGTACTCATCTAGTGGCCTCTTGGATATAATGGTTGGGAGATGTTTGCTCACTTTTAACCATGTATACATGATAGGTCCTTGGGACAAAATTTATTCAAAGGGGAGGGGTGGGGTCATTGGTGTGGACTTTCTCAGTAAAGACCTGCCATAATTAGTGAAGGGAATGGTTACCACATTTGATTGATTGTATCTATACACTGAAGTTTTGTTATAGACTGCTCATTTATTCAAGGATATTGTTAACTGGGTACACTGCTGTCCTCAGATGACAAGTTGACACTATTCTAACAAGTATTGTTAGAGATAGTAGTCAGGATAGAATCCAGAACTCTTTGAACGTTAAACATATGAACTAACTACTAGAACACCTAGATAGGCTATTTTAAATGTAAACATATTAACACGTATGCCACTAGGGTTTCAGGTTCGGACCCACCCCACTGTCACCAAAATGAAGATTGTGCGAAGAATAAAACATAGGTAAAACCATATTGTCACCATCATTTCCCTGAGGGTATGGGTACAGCCAGTATCCAAATTGCTGTGTATTGGTATATTAATTATACCACGGTTGCCATACAGTGTCTGATATAATTGCTGCATAATGAATCAGCTTTTGTCAGAAACATTTAGAGCAGTGTTTCTCAACCTTTCTGGTACTGGCAACCCCCTCCCCAAAATAATCTTATACATTTTATTAAAATTAACTAATATATAAATAGAAGGCATAGTTTTTTGTCATATTTTTTACTCCAGTGTGGAAGTAAGAAATGTGATTAAAAGGCTTAAAACTTTGCAACACTACATCATTAAAATGAGAGAATAGAATCTACTCAGCTTGAAGACTCCATTTGAGAAACACTGGGATTATTATTGGTGGTAAGCTGTAACAAACCATCATACGGTTTAACCCGTATCAGCCTGATGTTTGGTGGATTTTCATGGTAATATATAAATTCTGTTGCTGAGAAGCCAAAAGTAATGTTCAGCAGTAGCAGTGGAGGTTCCATTTACTGATTTAATTTTGTTTATTGGGGTCTGTTTAACAAGACTCAGTAGCTCAGACTGTATAGTGCTGATGATATTGTGATTAATGAAAAATTAATTGGAAAAAATGTAGAAGGAAATGTTCATGGCAAAATTTCAGATACGTTCCCAGCGTTTGGTCGGAGGAACTGAGGAAAACTGTGAAAAATGTCTGCCAGAATAGGTGGTCTCCAGGTTGAGATTTTAATCGGGGATCTCATGAACATAAGTCGGTAGTGTTAACCCCTCAGCCTTGACATTCATTCTTATCTTTTCAAATATCACACATTCATACCAGAAGTGCCAATACTTCTAAGTGAGGTGTTCAAACATACATGTGCTTGGGTGTAGAGAAATTCTGGAGAGTCAGCTACTGCTCACAAAAAGTAAGTTTTGTACATGTAATGCACCATTGCTTATTCGTTATATTTAGCATTTCGTCGCTGGAAGTTGTGCTATGTTGGCATCACTGTACAAAATTGTTATGAGCAAATCTGAAGTGACTGGAACTGGACCCTCACTTGTGTAACCCAGAACTGTACTCACTTTTGTCTTATGACTGTTATCTGCTTTGATTCTGTAGGTTCCAGGCAACTCAGGCTGATGTTGGTGTTTTTGAGTCACTAGCAAAACCACCTACTGCAGCAACACCTCATCTTCTGCGTTGGTATAATCATATAAATTCATTTGGTGATGGATGCAAGACATTACCCGGTGAGAAAAAGTCGGCCAAAGCTTTTGGTGGAGAGGCAAAAGCCAATAATGATGATGACGACATTGATTTGTTTGGATCCGATGAAGATGTAAGACAGACATAAGTATTCTAGATTTCATTGTGTAGTTTATGCACATTTTTCTCACATGTGAAGTTTGAGATTTATGCAAGGATTCATTAATCAAAGTAAAATATTTTTACTGAAAACTGAGTGGGCCTTATACAGGTTTGACCCGACAGCTTTCGTATAGTCAAAATGTACTTACAGTCCACTCTTCAGCTAGAATGTTGTATTACAGTCAGTCAGTTATCAAGTTGCATTTTCTGGGAATAGGTAAGCTGAAGACTATTTAATTACGATTATGAAAATGATTTGGGTCTAGCCATAAACACATTGCATGGGGGTTTACATGAGATTTCTGAAGTTTAAATGGGTCTAGAATTAGCCATGATTGGTTACACTTCATCAGGTGCAATCTATTATGGAAGAATATGTAACATTTTTATAAATATCTTACTGTATCAATTTATATATGTGTTTGTGTGTGTGTGTGTTGTAAAATTGTATTCAATTTATGCCCCTTTCTTTTTTCATCAAGAAAAACTGTAATTAAAAATATATGTTCTAGTAGGATAACTTGTTTTTAAAGAGAGGTTGATGAAGAAATATGTGTATAAGTACACAACTTTGGAAAACAGTTCCAGAATAAATAATTAGTGTATCACTTACCAATATAATGTATCGTAATAGGATGCTGAAGCAGCAAAGATCAGGGAAGAACGGCTGAAGGCTTATGCAGAAAAGAAATCTAAAAAGCCTGCCTTAATTGCTAAATCCAGTATCATCCTTGATGTGAAGCCTTGGGATGATGAAACCGATATGAAAGAGTTGGAAGCCAGTGTCAGAACCATCACAATGGACGGCTTACTTTGGGGTGCCTGTGAGTATCATGTTCTTACACTGTGACGTGATGGTGCAGAACATTAATTCAGTCAACAACATATCACGGTGTCAGACCCTGTATCTGGCATTCCCAAATCTGGAAGGACCTAAAATCCATATCTTTTTTTGGTGATATTTTGTCTGCATTTTCCCATGCTTATCATGTTTCTAACTAGCACTTCATGATTCCTTGACTCACAACCATGATGAAGATGGTACCCACCCTAGAGTTCTGTGTTTCAGGAAAACAAATTGTGAATTGTAGATAAAGTATATTTTAATATACAATACAATCCTACTTTGGCCACCAGAGCACAGAACCTCATTGTCTACCTCAACTTTCCTCATCTGTCATTTTGTTATCATCGCTCGTAGGATATTCAAAAGTTTGATGTTCACTTCATGCAGAGTAGCACAATCTCCACATCAAATTTCATCCAAATTTGCGCATGCTCATGTTGAATTGACTGGATGGAAAGACAGACATGACCAGCCCATAATGTATTCTTGTTACGCACTCTGTGCAAAGAATAATAAGTTTATGGATCTCAGAATGTAATGAATTACCTCCTGCTTGTATCAGTTATTCTAGAATCTCATCAGTGCTCTGTGATTTATGTCTCCTTTTCATTAGAAATGTCATCCTCAAAAGAGCTAGGCTCTGGTGTAATGGCTCAGCTGTGTGTATTGCGTTCTGTCTTACCCATTGTCCTACGTGAGCAATTAAATGCGGCTAAAGTCCGAGATCAAATATTTTGATATTTTCGCGCGAGTCGCTGCGCTGGCCAATATGGTGCATGCGCAAGAAAGCTCTGACCGTGCAGTACACAGAAGGTGCATGCGGAGGAAGTCCATGTGCTTCAGTTGCGGTCTCTCACGTAGGACACAGCAACTGATTCCCTCACTTCATATGACACCCCATGCTGCTCGGGTAGCTCGCTTGTTATCGATTACGTAGGACATTGCCTTGGCGTTGTTTATCTCATGTACATTCAGTAGCTGACTTGGCTAAGTTTAGAAAGTTAAGATTTTCTTGAATTCCAAGTGTCATGACATAAAATCCCTCTCACAATGTTATTGGCCATTGTCCTATATGTAGCTACTGACAGCTATTGCTTCACTAGGTACTAAGAACCACTCGCTAGAGGTGGGATGGAGGTATATCTTTTTATTCTTTAAATTAACTCGGCACTAAGCGAACGTGTGTGACGAGGTTTACGGATCGGTTAAGCAGGTTGCTCGTTGCAGTAAACGTGTCTTTCTTTTTGCTCCTGTAGCCAAAATGGTGCCTGTGGGATTTGGAATCCACAAGCTCCAGATCATGTGCGTCGTTGAAGATGAGAAGGTCTCTGTGGATCTTTTGATTGAAGAGATTCAAAAGTTTGAAGAACTTGTCCAGTCTGTTGATATTGTTGCCTTCAATAAGATTTAAATTGTAATTATATGCCATTACTTTGTAATTATTTTGTCAAAATATATAATTTTTGAAAAACTATCGACGCTGTGATACCGTACAGCCCTAAGTGATTATCACAATCCTTCCAAGTCTGTTCAGGGTCAGTGCGTAGTAGACATTTTTTTTTCTTCTAGTTTTCTTCCTTTATGTTGAGGTATTTTAGGTTTTTGGGAGGTCTTACCAGAGCTTTTCTTTCAGTGTATTTATTCCAATTTGTTCTCTATTGTCATTCTGTTATTACTTGTTAGACTCTTATGGTTACAAAGGTTGTATGTAAAATGTTGCTTGTCTCATGAATGCATTTCAGCTAATACCGATTATGGCCCACGCTTCTCTGCCATATGATGATAACGCTGGTCTAATGTAGGCATGTCGTACTTATGGGCTGTATGCAGCCCTCATCGCTGTTTTATGTGGTTTGATTCATTCCTTGAGTTATGCACAATGTGCCACCCAAAATGTGCATCGTATAATAATTATTAATTAATCTGTTGTTGCGTTAGTTTGTTGCGTCATACTATGTACAAGATGGATGACAATGCAGCTAAAAGACTCCATAAAACAGAATATATGAGACAGTACAGAAAACGTAAAAACATAGAAGTATTAAGTAATGAACCTAAAAGTTTCTAAAAAAAAAAAAAAAACTAATGCTGAACGTATAAGGCTGGTGCTAATCTTTGGCAATCGCTGTCGTTTTTCCCTCTGATGCAAGTAATGAGGCAAAGTGACATACAATTTTCTAGCATACTAACCAAAATTGGAAACGGCGATCGTCTTCTGCCTGATAGAAAGCCGTTTTACAACTCCTGAACAAGCCATGTTGGATGCTCCTGGAGCCATAAGATTATTCCATCGCAATGAAGACGTTTCGGAGTTTAATAAGACGGTGTTTAGTACAGACCTTGCTGTAGATTGTGTTGCAGACGATGTTTTTAGCGGGTATCAAAACCGAGAACAGTTGGCTAGCATGCGCTCCAAGTTGCACAAGATGAATGTTGCTGAAACGGGAGGATTGCCGTTTGTGATCAAGCTGTGCGTTGGGAAACCTTATATGATTACTAGCAACGAGGATGTAGAGGATGGTTTGGTTAACGGTAGTATGGCAATTTTAACGTACATTGAATATAATCCTGATCATCCCGATCGTGTGCAGCGGTTGTGGTTGCAAGTTGAGCCCAAATCTGCTGGACAAAAGGCTAGAATAAAGTGTCGTGCTACCGTAGCTTCACAACCAAACGTACTAAAATATGATTGGACACCATTAAATAGACGAAGTGGCACTATCACATTTAAAAACGGGCAACTTAAATGTAAAAGATTACAATTCCCGTTAGTTGAAGCTGGTGCTCTAACGGTTCATAAGTCGCAGGGTGGTACGTTTC